TTGGATCTTCATCCTTATTTTGGTGCTTATGTTGCCTTGTAAAAATTCCCAAATATTGAAATTTTTTATTGCATTTTAAAATGTCAACTCCACAAAGTTGAAAGAAGAATAAATACTTTATGTATTGTGAAAGTTAATTCCGTTTAGGGAAACTTATGAGTGTAAAATAAGAAACGGATTTTTCTCCTGTATGTGCTCCGATTCCAATTAACAATAAAAAAAAAAAAAGTAATGAGAAATGAGAGATCATATCGAAAACGAGAAAGAGCTTTCGCAAGTGAATTTGAAGAGATGAAGAAAATAGTTGACTTACTGGACGAAGGATGCTTCAAATAGACTTTTGACTTTTAATTATGTTATTTTTATAGACAAGGTTTTTGCAAGATGTCTCTTGGCCACCCACAAGCATAATTTGAAGAAGGGACAAACGTTGAAGACTGATAATGGTGTACCATTGACCAATCATTTCACTGAGGATGCTCATTATGATTTTGATGATAGCCAAAATGAAACCAGGGCAGAATCCCAGGGAAACAAAGGTTCGAATATTTTGTTTAAGGGGTAATCAAACAAGAAAAATGTTACCCACAAGTTACAGCATTATCATCGTAATATTGTTATTATTCAATTTGAGGTACCTTTTTTGTCTACCATTTTCAAATAGCCAAGATGAGAGACTATCATCTCTTATTTTCTACAAAATGAAGAGTTGTCTGAAGCCACATACGTATATGGGAATATCAAGCCAAGAAGTAACGCGATAAATTATATTACATCCTTGTACTACGCATGCAAAGTTGTTGCGAATGAATCTATTTTAGCGATGGAAGTTTTTTATGTATATGTCCCCTTTACATATTTGTCAAACGCATTTGTTTTGCTATTTCAACAAAGGTATTTTTTGGACAAATGAGATTTGTTTGGGAACTCTTCGGTTTATTTCTTCGTATAATAATATAATAATAATTATGGGCTGGTCCTACAGGCAAGAACACTCATCGATGGACTGATGAGCAGACCCTACTGCTATTATCATTGTATCAACAACATTGTAGCAGGGTGGACAATGGATCTATGACAAGCCGAAAGTTTTGGACTATTATCGTCGAAGGTTTGAAAGAAAAAGGACACGTAGTGTCAATGTTACAATGCACCTCAAAGATGGATTCTTTGAAGAAAAGTTATAAAAGAGTTAAAGATCACAATGCATGTAGTGGCAACAATAGAAAATCCTGTGATTACTACGAGGTAAGTTGCAATGATTGCGTTTTCTGAATATAAATGAACGTAAAACTAATTGTTGAAAAGCAAAGTGCATAAATTGTTTTCCTCATGAGTAATTCACGCACAATGTCATTGATTACAGATTCTGGATGAATTATTCAGCAAAAAACCCTGGATAAAGCCATTGTCCACTGCAGGATCCAACATCCCAATGACGGATATGCCACAATCAGACGAGAATTCTAAAAATAGTTAGTATCGTCATGATATTTTCTTTGATATAGTTGTGCCCAATTTTATCTCTAATAGTATTGTTGATTTAAGCATGAAATCAACATTTTTAAGATTTTCACAAAAATTAAAAAATTTTATGCAAATGGTCACTTGAGGATTGATACAGCAAGTTTTGGCACCAATTTTTACAACAGTAACTTTTTCTATGGTCAAATGCAATGAAATTCTGACGAAACAATCTCAATTTCAATTATAATACGATGATAGATTAATCACTCAGGTTTTTTCTAACATTATCGACATTAATGACCTTAACAATTTCAATAATGATTTGTCGCAATTTCGTGGCCTTTGACCATGAAAAAATTTACTCTTGGAACTCTTGGCGCCAAAATTTCCTCATGTCCATCCGTAATTCCGCGAACTTTCCCCTTGATTCTTTACCAACGGTATTTCAATATTTACAACGTTTCTGTTTTACAGAACGTCGGAATCTGTCGGACAAAATCGATCGATCTGAATATATGAGGCAGTCGTTGGAGAACCAACGGATACGCGCCGAAGCAACGGCTAGTTACAGACAAAGAAAACTCGATTTATTAGCGGATTTGACTGAACAATTCAAGAACAGCTCGTAATCAACGTTGATCTCATTCACATTCAGATTTATATTTCACAGGCTGTTATTAATTTAGTTAAACGAACAGAATGTTCATACTTAAGGCTAAAGTAAATTATCCTAATAATAACATCTCTACGGGACAGTAAATTGAAGAAAAAGGGCAAATTTATGATTCCTGGTTTAGCTGCATTGTTTGTTGCCATCGTGAATTCTAATTGAACTCTTTAATCTGTCTCAAACTTGTCGCTTTATCGAAAAATCTCGAACATTGAAACGTACAATAAGTTGATGTTCTAAATATGACGAACCGTTCAATATGTTCATAATGATGTTCTAGATTTACTTGTCATCTGTTAGTTGAATAGTATAGCTAGCTGAGTTCGAGATTGATGGTCCTTTGGATCACCCAGTGCCATCAAACACCCTTAAAAGTAGAATAAATAATATTTTCGGTCAAAAGTTCATTCCCAGCATTGATACGTATGTCAGGTAGTCCTCGGAATAACTGAAACAAGTAATTTACTTGAATAATAATTAGAATTCTATTTTAACTACTTTTCATGCTCAACGTACAATTGAAGCCAGTTTTGTCTATTATAAACAAGTGGGAACGTGAGATTTGATCCGATATTTCTATTCAGGGATTTGTGCGTGTTTAGTTCAATTGATCGTTACTATTATTATTTATAGTTCAACTATTTAATCTGTATCGGACTTGTTGTAAGCTTTCCGATGAATCACAACCATTCAAGGGTATTATAAGTTAATATCCAAAATGTGAGGGAGAGTTTAAAAATTACTATAATAAACGTCCTGGAATTCTGGGAAATTGGTTAATTGATTAGTAGACTTTTATTGAAGGAAAAATAACCAATGACTATGTTAAAAACGAAATGCTTCAGTGCAGGATAGAAATAGCATTTTTAGTATTTACTCTTTCTTCGTCGATGTCTTAATTTATATTGTGATTTGCTTAATATATGTGCACTTGAGAAAATTCCCAAAGAGTATTGTCAATAAATACAAGCTGTCATTATAGTCATTACAGTTACATTTAAATGGCTAAACTGTTCCATTCAAAAACTATAATTAATAAATTTTCTATAATTTCTTATGTGTTTTTTTTCATATACATATATTGAACTATTTTTGGCGCCACTTGCAATTTACGCCGGCGCACACGCTGTAAAAATACGGTAATACGCCGCCGGCTTTAGCATTGACACTTGCCGAAAATTACGAACATCATTATAAACATTTGAAGGGAGGACAGAAGATTTAAAGTATTGGAATCGAAGAAAAAGCAGATTGACGTAGGATAACATTGAAGAAATTAGAAACTGTAAGTTCATTTCATTAATTTTTTTCAACGTTTGTGGCAATAAATTCCAACCAAAACAATTGTTTTAGGTTAGACCTGCGAAAATGGCTTCGGCCCTGCTTGTTGACTCGGCTGACGATGACTGGTTGGGGGATCCCCCAATACGAACCCTAGTCAATTGTGATTGTCATCTTGAGATAGATTTGCAGATCAATGCACCAACTTCGTGCCCTTGTCAGCTGTTGCTACGAGCTGCCACCACGACAGTGTTGACTCAATTGCTCTTCAATAACAGGACCTTCTGGCCTCTAAAAGACGTTTTGCTGAAAGACTGTTTCAAGCACTTGGAGACACATGAAGCCTCATATATTAATTTTTCCAATGATCGATCGGAGTACGATCTTCATACCCTACTCGGGACCAAAATCCTGGATCTACCTGACACGATGGAACTTCGAATGCCAGTACACAAAAAACTCGAGCATTGTTATCATGTTCCAAAGGACATAATTTTGACATATGAAGCAGATATGCACTTGCTCTTAATGCATGGCAACCCAAAACCTGATCCTGTTTTTATGCGTGAACACCATTTCCCTAAGTTATCCTTCTTTCTCTGTGGCCGTCCTTTGACGAGTTTTGATAACATTCTCGAAGCCCATGAAGCAAAAGCTCTTCAGGCTTTCGATGCTGAGGTAACCTGGAGAGAGGCCGTAATAAATACGTCCCAGCAATCAAACCTGGCATTCAATCTGATAGAAAGAGAAGGGTGATGAATTTTTCCAGTTCCATTTTTGTTCAATGATAATAATTCGTTTCTTTACTTGTAAGATCATTTGAATAAGCTGGTGTTAAGGGCACAATGGAAACCTTTGGCGATGATGACTCTCATTGATTTATTGAAATTCATGAAAGAAGGGACAAAAGATTTGTTTAATCACTGGACGTAACTCTCAATATTTTTCCATCATTTTTCCTCAAACGACTGTCTCCTCTTTCATCTCGACCTCTTGAGCTTCGAGATTGATGGTCCTTGGCGTTACCCACGGGCATCAAAACATCCTCAAAAGTATGATAAATAATATTTTCGATCAGAAGTTCATTGTCAGTATTGATACGGATGTCAAATAGATAATTACATGTCAAATGAATTTTGATTATTGACTGTAATATGAGGTGAAAGATTTTTTATTGAACAATGCGTCTAAAAAAGACAGAAATGACTGAATCATGTAATATACTTAAAGAATAATTACCATTTCATTTGAACTACCTTCAAGTTGAAGTACGTTTCATTACAAATGTACACTTGAGCCTTTTTTTATTTAAAAAAAAGTGTAAATGGGAGATTTAATAAGATGTATCTATTCAGTCATTTGTACTTGTTAACAAATATTGCACGTAATAATGGAAATAAAGAGTGTAAATAGATAAAGAGAGATGACAGTTTCTTTTTTTCCATGATATAAAAAATCATTTTTATGATGTGTAAGTGTATACTTGTTTTATTCATTATTGGAGGGAAGTTTCACAAATATTTCTACAAACAATGTTATAAGCACTATAGTATCGGACATTTAATCCATATTTTGGGTATGTTATTACAATCCAATTTATACAACGTCTCTATTTATATAATCAGTTAAACGTTCTCTCTTAATTTGACCTTGTCGTTGCTGTACATTATTAACATGCAATGGTTCAGCATAATTATCAATATTATTGGGTATGATGATGGGATATTCGAACGTGTCTTCATTTTTTAAACAAATGTTATGCAGTATGCATACAGCTAAGATATAATATGGAATTAAATCCGTTCGTCTCATTGGTAATTTGTCCAAAAAATATCTCCATCTTGCTTTCATTAGTCCGATTGCCCGTTCAACCATCATACGAGTGCCAGATAATGTCCTATTAAAATACACTTGCTCAATTGTCAAATGTCCATCATTTCGATACGGAACCATCAAATTCGTCTGCAAAGCATAAGCAGAATCACCTAAAAGGTGAGTATCCTCTGGAAAATACTCGTCGTTACACCGTTGTTGTAGACCAGAATACATGAAAACTCTCATATCATGTACCGACCCAGGTAGACCTGCGTAGCAGTGGATGAATTCCAATCTGTCATTACACACGACCTATATTAAAAAGCAAATAGGAATAATTATGAATTATTTTCAGAATTATTCAGAATTATGTTCAGTATATCGTAATTACAAGAACTAATCATTTGCTTTGAAATTATATCTATCAATTTGTGTATTGATTGGAGTCACTAAAATATTACATTCGATGTCAAGTTGATTGTGGGAAAAAATTCATTTTCATGAAAAAAATGCAAAAGGAAAAGGAAAAAATATAATAATGGTGCTAAAGATTATCAATATCAAATCATTCACAATGTAGATTGTTTATACTTTCGAAAATTGCCAAAGTACCTGTAATTGTATTGAATGCACTCCTTTACGATTGATATACGATTGCGGATCTACTTTTGGAGCTGCAATATTAATATGAATCCCATCTACTGCCCCTATAACGCCAGGGAATCCATATCTTTGTTCAATCCTCACTGTGGTCGCCAGAGCCTGTCTATGAGATGGCCATTGAATGAAATAATTTCGCATTTTGCAAAGAGCTTTGACCACTCTTTTTACGGCACGCCAAGCAGTAGCCAAACCCACGTCAAATTTTGTTGTTACTGATCTGAATGTAGTACAAAAAAGGTTATAAAAACGAATGCTATTTGTTTGAAATTAGATTAACTTCTTTCGCATGAACCTGTACGAATCCGGAGTTCCTAATACATATAAAGCAATATATAATTGCTTCTCAGGATTAATTGTTACTCCTTCAAATTGACATAATTCTCCTTCCAAATCGGGTCTCATCAAAAAAAGTAAATACTCGAAAGTATTGCGATTCATGCTGCAAACAAACAAAATGTCAGTTGTTATATTATTCTTGGTAGGAAGAATTTATCGTAGTATAATTCAGTTACCGAAAGTTCTGTTGAAATTCCACGTTTTCGTATCTGACAATAACTGTCTCAATGAAATTTTGTACCCGAGGAATCCTTCGACGATCACCATTTTCATTAATGACATCTTCATCAGGATCATCAATTATATCATCACTGTAATCACTACTACTGGAGGAGGAAAGAAAATCATCTAATAGCACGATATTTCTCACATTATACATCATGCTTTCATAAGTTACATTAAATTAAATTAGTCAATATTTTTTTACACTAATCACAAGTAAACTTTTAGGTTATGTCCAGACGGTGGTTCCAAGTTCTGGTATAACTTATTTTTATGAATTATGATCAAAAATTTCATAATATTCTCACAAATCCACAATGCTACCTGACAATAATTATAAATACGATGTCAACAACTGTAATGAATTAATATAAATCTTTCAGTCTGTTTATTATTAGATTGTAAGAATGCACGCACTACTCCATTTTATTTGCTGTTACTAGACACGCGGAACACTTTTCCGGTAAACTTCCCTAGTTACCAGATTTGAAATTCACTAGGATTCACCATTACTGGACTGCCACATTTACCCGGCGGAAAACACCCAATGTTACCATTATCTGGTAAAAAACTATTCGTAACTCGGGATTTCCCGAAAATCGTGGGCCATCCCCTTCGCATTTTTGGGGCCATTAATTAATTGTTAATCATCTCTTCAACTGAGAATTTTTAGGGATTTTGTCAAAAGAACTTTATTCTGTTAAATTTCATTATAAAGATAAAAGATTTACTGACAAAATTTCCTAATCCTCTTGGTATCTGAGATAATTAACAATTAAACAATCGCCTCAGAAATCGAAAGGGGGACGGGGGTAATTTTCTCAATTATTTCGCAAAAAAAACTCTTTTACAATTATCTTGTAAACAAATGGGTCTACAAGATTTAGTTATTGATTATTATTTCCCGAAAATCGTCGGCCATCCCCTTGGAATTTCCGAGGTCATTAATTAATTATTAATTATCTCCTCAACCGAAAATTTCAAGGGATTTTGTGAGAAGAACTTTTTTCTGTTAAATTTCATTAACAAGATAAAAGATTTACTGATAAAATGTCCTAATCCTCTTGGTATCTGAGATAATTAACAATTAAACAATTGCCTCACAAATCGAAAGGGGGATAGCTGTGATTTTCGGAATTTTTCCGAAGAAACACGCTCTTTCTCAATTATGTGGTAAACAATTGGGGATTTTTCCATTGATTATTTTCTATCGCAAATCGAATTCGCAACAAAAATAATGTTTGAGCTCGGATCTGGTTTCGGGAATATTTACTGGAGATGGGCGAAATTTAAATGGATTTCAATGGGAGCGGGAGAAGGTCCACAAATGACCGAACGTGCACGTTGGTCAACTCAGTCAATTTAATCAGATAAAAGTCAATATTTACACGTGTTGATTTAATTATGGTAATCGAGATGGTCAAGAAATAGCGCGGGTCACAATATTATTAAACAGTTCACAGAACTTAAAGCGCAGAGCAATTGTACGCGGAACTCAATACAAATAATAGAGCAATTCGGAGAAGACTAAAGTACACTGTACGATGGCCGAAATGCAAAAAAGACCGATTAAAAGACCGCAAGGTGGCAGGTGGCAATCATCGACGGTCCAAACGTGCCCCAATTTAAATGGGGGCGTTCGCTGGACACCTGTCCATCAAGTGGCGCCTCAGGTGTCAGAGGTGAGAGGCCACTGGTCAGTTCAGTCGGTTGCGCAGGTCAGTCATGAGAAGCCATGCAAGCATGCGAGAGGAGCGAGTGTGCGTGAGTGTGTGTGTGTGTGCGGAAAACAAGTCGGTGGAAAACCGAACAAATAATCTGATGGAAAAATGATGTAAACCCAATAGTTTTTTAAATAATGACCAAAAATTATTCAAGACTTTATTGCAATTATTTAATCAACTATTAGGTTTACGTGATTTTTGCTTAAGATTAGTTTGTTGCAAATTCGATTTGCTACAAAAAATAATCAATGGAAAAATCCCCTAAACCCAATTGTTTAACAGATAATGGCAAAAACATTTTCGTAGAGAGATGTGAGAGAGCGAGAGAGAAATATCTTTCCTTCTCTCTCTCGCTCACGGGTGAACGTAAAACGCTATCCCGCCTCCTGCTCACTAGAAGGGGAATCACGCACACTGGTGCGCGGAGCCACACGGACGTACTGCCGCTTAACGCTGCAGCGTCGTTGGCTGTCCTATTTACCCCAATATCTCCGGAGGGGTTGCTTCTGTTCGAAAAGTGGAAAAGGACTTCGGCTCAGAATCGCCCCCTGTACATGCTGGTTCAGGATCAGCATGTACTTCTGGGACACCCTATATAGGTCCGAATGCGACTCATTGAAGCGTACAGGTCAGTTAACTGATGAATGTTCTTTTCCACACATAAATATCCAGAAGAACAAAGGCAAATTGTCCAATATTTTGAGGATTGGATTCTCCGACGAAATTGGCGGAATGGCCCACACATATGGGCGATCCTACCAAATATCAGCATGAAACATTTCCTTCAGATTTTGAACGTTTCTGTCTATTTTTTATTGAAAATCATAGCTCAAATGAAGAAAAATGAGCGCAACCGGAGGTCTGTAACTCAATTTCTGGCGGAGATAGCGAAGATTGCTTTTTTTCCGTTCTTCTAAAATTTTTTTTCTAATTTTCATTATGAGCTACTGTGAACGATAAAAAAAAATTGAACCCATAGATTTCGTCGGGAATTTTCTCAAATTCTAAAAAAAAATAGAATTCTTCATGTATCTATGCATTTTGGCATAGGAACTCAAAAAGCAAGTTTAAAATGGTCATGTGGGATCATTCCTCAACCCTTTTATTTTTTTGGTTCTTTCCATCTAAAAGTTCAAAAATTTCATTAATCGAAACCTATTCTCATTGTTGCTGCTCTTCAGAATTTAGAGGTGAAATGGAGCGAAAAACGAAATTTCCACATCCAAAAAAAAGCGTTTCTAGAAAATATCTCAAAATCTAGAAGATGTAGAGCAATTTTCGTTCAAATCATCTTTGTAGAGCAGAATGAGATCTACAAAAAAGCATGCATAAAAATTTTTCCCTCTACTCTACATTCAAAGATACTTATAACAAAATACTATCTCCAATTTAACGGAGGGACTGTTTTGTTTGATTTTTCGAGAATCCGTCGGGAAAAGTCCCCCCCCCCCTCCTCTAATTTTTCAACAAAAAATTGCTATCTCGATTTGTTTCGGAGATATGACGTATCAGCATTGCCTGAAAGGAAAACTCTGCTTTTCCTGCTACCAAAAATTGCTTTTTTAATTTTCATCATTAATTCCTCCATTCTCCAGTTAATTTCATTCGTCACATACTCGTACACATTCAAGAGCATATTATTAATGTGATCCCAATGAATATTTATTCATATCTCTGTATATGAAATGAATAAATTATTTACATTACTTTTCATTATTTATGGTTGTAGAAATTTTTTACCCCAAACCGGTCCTTGTTGCCTTTTGGCAACAATCTCGAAAACAACCCCGAATGGAGGTAGGGGTAGTTTACCTATCGCGTTGACATGCCCTCATCATGAGTGCATTGTTACACAAAAATCGGATATTTTGCTCGTCTCCAAGTTGGAGTGACCCATACCGGGTTAAGAAGGATAAAAAATGCGCTTTTGGGTTAATATCCGGTGTAGAAACAACCTCTGAAGTTTAGGCCCAGGGGCCTATACTTTTAAATCCGATAGTAGGCCCCTGGGCTCCAGTGGTGTTTACCCCCTCCATTCCCTCGCCGTTACATCGATGAGCCTCGAAGGGTTCGTAACTCGGTGCACAATCAGTTCGGTTTTAAATGCGTTGTAGGTAAATAGTAGTAGAAATATCCGCGTGTCATAATTTTTAGTGCCGGCTGAGTTATATTGTCCAAGTATTCATGTAATCAGAAAACAAATTTTAGTGCGTAGAAAAGTAGCAATAGTGTACAAATATCTATGCAATAGAAGGAATTGATCTATTTTCTGGTTCTACGCTATGGTAAGTAAAAAATGTTTGACAGGCGGGGTAAAGTGGTTGTAGTGATTTTTTTTTGCGTTTTAGTGTCCTCCATAATATATCAAACGGCAGTTAATTGTTATTTTCCTCAACCCGATACTGTCTAATATCACTGGAGTTACTCTCTCATTATATCCTCTTCAGTCTATATTTATATCCATATGGGTTAGATTCATATGTATATGAGAGAATCTTGGAAAAAAGCAGTGGGATGAGTTACCTCCATATACCTGTATAGGGTTGATCATTTTTTCTGAACTTCGGGAGTCGTGAGTCGATTACAATTATGTTCATTTGAAATAACGCCCAGTCCTTTTTACAAAAATCATAAAAAATTGAGATGCTATTCTTTCTTGTCACTTCGGCGGACCAGAAATAAAATGGATGCCGACAAACTAATTTTTCGTTTTTTGACGTTTTTCTATAATTAAAATAATCTTACTTGAAAAAAAAAGTTTTTAGAGTGCGTCCGAAACGTAATGAAAAAACTTTACAATATTATATTTTGAAAATAACACAACCGGACAAATATTTGAGGGGATCTTGGTAGCGTTCATTTTCTAAGAGTATTAATCTACAAGCAATGGTAAAATAGGTAATCAGGGAATTGTACAAATTTATAGGCAAGCATTATCAGAAAATGCCCTGGTCAGAGACCCGGTACATTCGTGTACTTGAACAATGGATTGGCGCTATCATTTGCGCAGACAAAATTTGGGAGAAGAAGAAGAAGAAGGAGACGAAAATTTGGGAGAAACAGAAGGAGAAGAGGGAGACAAACATTATTCCTGTGCTACTAGATCACAGCTGTCATTAACAGGTTGCACTGCAAGAATGCACAAATATGCCAATGGGGCTGTTGTGTGTGAGGGCCTACATAGTGATATAGTTGACTTCAGAATCGTCAAGAACCTTGAGCTAAAATCTGATATCTCTGATGCGTTAAAAGAAGGTGCTGATAAACTCAAGAATATAACTGAAGAATTAGTTGCAAGGTATAAAAAAAATTGTAAAGTTTATTCAACTCTTATAGCAATAATTACATAATCCGTTCACAAACGATTGTTTAGATATTCAGAGATCAAATCACGTGGAGCAATACTGGCAATGATTCGAAGAGCTGAGTCGGATAT